AAATAATTTGTATATTGAAAAATTATGTGCACTAACTGTTATTAACAAATTATACATAAATTAGAACTAGTGAATGCAGAGATTCTCTTTTTAGTTCATTACTATTTTTTTTTTTTTTTTTTTTTTTTTTTTTTTGAAAAATATCCTTAATCATAAAATTTATTGTGCATTTCTGTTCAATTAAATTTTGTTCATGTTAGGTAACTTAACATAAATCATTATTATTACCTGATATTTTGATATCTAAGGCATGGATAGGTTAGGTTTCGAAAACTTGAATCAAAATAAATATGAAAGGGGAAACTTAAAAGAGACATCAAATAGCAGCGATTTTTTAATCCTTTATAACTCAGCATTTGATTTATGAAACATATCTGTAATCACTAAAAAATTAATTCGAATAATGCAGAATATCATTTAGTAAAAAGTGATTTGTTGATGAGTTCAGTGTTACACATAAGATTTCAAGAACTATAGATTGTAATTAATGAATGTGTATAATGTTATATATATATATATTCCTTATTAAGATAAAATACCTTTACATCTTATCTTTCTTATGAAATTAATTCAGAAAATGTGTACTGAAATCAAAACGATGAAGCCATGATATAATGATTTAAATTATCTGGTTTTACATTAAATTTCAGTTTTACAAGTCTTTTCACATATGCATAAACAATAGAAAAATTGAATGCTCTTTGTGTTCATTTTTCCAAATTCAGCATCTGAAAAAAAGTGAAGACAGTTAGTAAAAAAATTATTTTCAAAATATTAATAATTTGAAAAATGCTATAATTTTTTTTAATTTGAGTAATACAAAGTTATGTATTAAAGATTAAATTCAAGTGCTATAAACAAAATTGGCATAATCATTTTTATGAGAACAGTAAATACTAAAGTCTCAATCACATTATGTTTCGGCTACACAGGACTTGACGTTGAAAGGGACAATTCTCAGAACCTGCACAATTCCAGGAAACCCACATAACTAGGTTACCATTTTCACTTACTACAAAGATTTAAATGCCAAACACTAATCAATTATCACTCAGATTGGGATCATGTGATGCTTCAGAAGCAGAACTTTCGTCTTATTGGTTGTCTCTACCCGGGACTGAGGTCCAGCCGAGACAAAAATATCCTAATAATATATAATCCGGTGAGGTTTGAAAAATCCTGCGTAGCTGCAACATTGTTTCCGTAGCTAGGTGGGACTTCACTTCAGGTGGGGCTCTCTTGTTGTAGGAATCCTCCCGTTTAAACCAGTGCTACCAGAATCTCGTTTCTCAGAAAAGTCCCATCTAGCAGGGACTGTAGCCATGTGTGATAACCTCTTAATGTAGCAAGTGAATTTAATCTTTAAGCTACATGTGCTAATAAATAAGGAATACAAAATTATATACTTTTCTCTCTCACAACAATGTAAACAATTGCTTAAAAACAAAAGTTCCTTTCTCACTGTCAGATAAAGTAATGAAATGAAAAACGCCACCTCATTTCATTTTAGAAATATTCAGCTCTATTTAATATGCCCCAAAATATCTTTCATATTATCCTTATCTTAAGTCTTTTCTTCTTCTTTTTCTTTTTTTTTTTTTTTTTTTTTTTTTTTTTTTTTTTTTTAAACTCTGAGCATATTTTAGATGTTTATTTAAAGATAATACTAAAACATGTAGCCTCTTCAATACCTGAGAAAGGACAGCTTCATAGTGGTAGCAACACCTTTGTACAAGCTGGCCACTATCTGAAAACAATCTTCGTAAAAAGGTTTTCCAATCCTTATAAAGACCATTTTCTTAACTTCTAAAGAGCAGTCTTCATAATAGTATTTCATGTGCTTGCTATCTAGGTAGTAAACTTTTGAATTAAGTTGTTTTGCTATTCTGATTAGCACAAAAAAAAATGAAAAATTTACAACAGCACCTGGCATAAAAGTGCCCACACAGGACAGGTAACTTTTTTCACATTCAAAATTCATCTGGATAAAATGTGTACCTTTATGCCAGCATGCTATTATGAAGGTTGATTGTAACTGTAAGTATGAAATTTTGAATATGGACCAAATCGCATAAAAGTGCAAACATCATTATGAAGGCATTTCTACAATAAGAGCAAACAGTATTGAAATGATAGCATTTACTACTTTAAGCCCACTGCAAGGTCAGTTACTAAATCCTAAAATCTGTTAAAATTAGCTTAATCTGTATTTTCACTAGGAATGTTTACTTTATAATACAGTAAATATGTTAAATCAAGTATAATACCGTAAATATGTACAATAATATGTTAAATCAAGTTTAATCTGTGGAATAGAAAGACTTTTTTTTAAACTTCAACAATATTTGAGTACTAATAAATTACTTTAAAATATGTTAATCATCTTTTATTTAATAAACATAAATTATAATATATGCACATCATTTGCAATAAGTACAGTTATAGAAAATTTTGGGGAAAGTTTCTGCATATTATTTTCTTTTACAAAAAGTACCTTTTGTCAGACACCGGTGTGGTAATTTTCCTCCCGCAAACCTATATACAAAGTTCAAGGAGGCAGTGTTTTCATTCCAAAAATTGAATAATGAGTTTTCAGTGAATAAGCACAAATTACGATCCCCACAACATATTTTTACAATGATGTCTGTTTGTGCGGCTGTATGTGGGATGATTGTTTTGTCCGCCATCACTCTTATATGAAACTTCTAAAAATTTCTATTTGTCAGTATATTTAAGCTTTCTTCATTCATATGAAGAGTTGATTAGATTTGGGGTAAAATTGGACAACCAAAAATAATATTTTACAGAAGTCCATAACAGTTTTTAATGGAGAACCAACAGAAAGGACATAATAATTTTGATGAAAAACTATTAAATTATAATACAAAGTTCCAGTTTTAATATTTAAGACTAAAACTGAAACTTTGTATTATAAACTTTTAAAGCATTTCAGTTTTAGTATTTAAGACTTTATCAATGGAAGCAACATAGTGGATTTTTGCTAAAATTGATAAACAGAAAATGATACTTTACTTGAAACTCTGAACAGACTTTCATAAAAAAATGAGCTAAATTAATCTTATCAAATTTTATATCTAAAATAATTCAAGAACTATTTTAGATATTAAATTTGAGAAGTAAATAGTAAGTAAATGTAATGTGTTGTTCTCAAATTACACATATTCTCAGAGTTATGCTAAATGCACCAAGAATTAGTTCATTATGAAGCAATGAGTATTAGCTTCAGTCCTCAATTTTGTGTCAAATCACTTTTCAAATGAAAAAATGCTGCCACCAAAAGCTATTGGTATGTATTATTCCTTAATTAAAAAATATAGTGAACATAAAAAAATGACAACAATTAGCAGTATTGGGAATTCGCTAAAGATATACTGATTTTAAAGCTTTAGTTGTTGAATTGTATGTGGTGTAAAGGCAAAGAAAGTAATGTTTAGTAAGTAAAGTTAAAATAGCAAATAAAAATTTTTGTTTTTCTTGTGAAGACAACTGAACACTTGTATGTTTATACCAAAAACTAAGAAAAGGCTGAAAACGAAAAGTATGGCAATACTTAATACTTTATCAAGAAATCTAACATGCTGCTTTTAAAAATTTTGCTACTGTTGAGTCACTAATTTGTGAATCCAAAATACTCTATGACCGCAGGATGTACTATAACTGATGTAATATTTTCAAATCAAAGCATGAGAAAGATGTGTACATGAGAAGTATAATCTTAATTGTCCATTATATGGGAGAATAAAATACTAAAAAATGAATTGTGTACTTAATTAACACTGAGCCATAATGTACATAAATTACATTTTATTTACTTATGATCAACCAGAAGTGAAAGCTTATTTAAAGCTCATTGCTATTCTGCCAATTACATGGAAATGGCAGGAAATCGTGTGCTGTCCACATGAGATTTTCTAGAATGAGTATAAACTTTTACTGATTATAATTGTATAAACTGTAGAATACAAGATTGATTTTTTTTTAATTTTAAAATACTATAACATGAAAATTTGTTATAATTTAAAATACTTCTGCAACTAGATGTATGTCTATAATCAATGATTGAGAAAAGATTGATTGGTGATTAAAAGTCACTCGAGAAGTAAAATACTCTTATTTTTAGCTTCAAGAAAAATCATTAAAAGTAGCCTGTAATGTATTAAAACAAAGATAAGAATACCTTGAAAATACACATACTGTCATTAAAATTTTGTCTAAATATATGTCATGTTTGAATTTTAGGCATATCAGAGTGATAATTTTTATAATTAAATGCAAGGAAAGGTATGTAAGTTAATAACATGACCAATAACACATTTTGCTTTGAAAATATTTAGAATGTAATATGATACAAGAATATAACAACTTCATTTTTGCTAAATGACCTTAAAGATTTTATAAAAATGTTGTAGTTCAAAAGCATAGAAACAATAATTCATTCCCAGAATTTCAATTTTCATATCTCATAGTTGTGTAGGAATTAAATCAGTCAGGTTATTTATTGGATGTCTTAAAAGCTCAGAAACAATGTAATGGAGAAAAAACTCATTTCTGAGATCTCTGAAAATACTTAAACTTATTTACTTTAAATATTTCCATCATTGCAAATGTGGTATACTGTTTTGTTACCATGTTGGAAATCATTAAACATTTATGAACAATATTACGTTTAATGAATGCTTATTAAAAGTTACTAACTGTACTTTCTTTATCACTAGTTTGAACCGTTCATTTGATATATATAGGCAGATTAATTATTGCTAAACTGTGTCTGAATATTTTTGGGTATGAAGTGTGATATTTATATTTAGATCAAATATAATCAAACAGTGATTTTAAAAAGCGAGTTCTTAAAAAAATCTATGATATCAGTTCTTATGTAAAACTTTTAAATACATTAACATAATGCAAGCATGTTATAAAGTCTTTATTTTCATCATGTTTACTTTTCTGATTAAAATTTTTTTTTCTGTTTTTGGCAGGATGTTATAGAGTGTGATTTCCTAACAGTAGATATTCTTGAAAAGCCAACAGGTGAAAATTCAACTATTTCCTACAAGCCATGTTTTCATGCAGAAAGTTTTGATATCGTTGTGTTCTCATTGGTCTTGGAATATGTACCTGCTCCTAAGCAAAGAGCAGTTTTTTGTGTTAAGGCATGGAAACTTTTAAAGCAGAATGGTTTATTTATCATTATAACACCTGATTCTAAAAGTGTGCATCATAATGCCCCTATGATGAAAAGCTGGAAATCAGCTTTGGAAAGAATTGGTTTCTTTCGTGTGAAATATGATAAACTCCAACATCTACATTGCATGGCTTTCAGAAAAATGCAGAGTTCTCAAATATATGATTCCTCATTCTATGATTCCATATCAGAACTTTTATACATACCACAAGATTTTATTGTGTATTCTGAAACAAAAGTTGTTGAAAGGACAGAAGCAGAAGATTTCGATATATATAGTGGCTTTCTAGAACTGCCAGAAGAAAATGTGTTTTAAGTAATTTTCTTTCACTTAATGACATGTATTTTTGTAATGCATCTTAATTTTTAAGAAAAAGGATACTAAAAATTAATTTTGAAATGATGTAGAAACTGGTGTAAGTAGTATGATGGAGTAAGTTTATTTTTTGTTTCGTATAAACACACTTCCTGCCATTAAAATTGCTACACGATGAATGCAGCGTGCAACAAGTGTCAATTTCAAGAAAGGTACTACATGCTTGAATATGCGGATGATTAGCATGCCAGCAGATGCAGAAAGCAGGGGCAGTGGACGGTCGTTAATTCGAACTAATCCAAAGACCACCAATAACTTATATTGGAATTAATGTTAAAAATATCTCGTTAATTCAAACTAAATTTTTATCACTTTGGTTACTTCAAACTAAAAATTTGACACAAAAAATTTCTTTTTCCTCATTTAATGAAGAAAATACACACTATTATTTTTTTTGTGTCAAAATCTTTTTTTTTTTTTTTTTTTTAATTTGTGAAGAGGCATATGCCTGCATTCCTAGACTATTGCATTTCCACTTAACATTAGTGAGTATTGTCCTACTGTCCACCTCTTATCAGTGCTTAATGGGCAAAGCTCCCTGACCTAACTTTTCTTTTGATTCATTCAGAACCCTTTATGAATGGGTAGAGGTAGGGGGAATCGTTTGTTTATTTGTTGTCAGTCTTTTTAGAATTTCAGAAAACCATTCCTTACTACAGATTCTACAGAGCTGCATCAGTTATGCCTGCAGTGCACACAAGATAATGTGCTCTGGTTTTTCTTCCTCAGTGTGTGGTGTGAATGTGTAAAATTTCAGGATGTTTACATCGTGGGAGGTACAAAATTCTAACTTTGGAGACAAAGGTAGAAATTTTAAAGAAAGTGGAGAATGGCAAATATAAAACAATTACAATTTAGATTTATGGGGAAAATTAGAATTTGCTAGAGGAAGGAAATACATGAGAAATGCATCTGAAAAAATCTAGAAAAAGCTTTATTGCTATGGTTCTAGGGGGCTAAATCATGAAATTTTCCCTTAAATGGACCCCTGTTGCAGACAAAGGCTAATGAACTGGCAAGTCAAATAGGTATTCAAAATTTTTTTAAGTGCAGTGATGAATCGCTTGCTCAATTTAAGTCGAGGCACAATATTTCTTATCAAAATGTGTGTGGCCAAAGCTGTGATGTAAATGAAAATGTATGCACTAATTTCAGTAGGAAAGTGACAGGGCTTTTCTCTACTTACCTGCCGAGAGATATTTTTAATGCAGATGAAACTACATTTTTTCATATAAACTCTTGCCAAACAAGACATTGCAGTTTAAAGAGGATGCTTGTGCAGTAAACAGAGGATTACTGCTAATGTGGATGGGAGCGAAAAGCTTAAATGATTAGTGATTGGAAAGGCCAAGAATTCATTGTGTTTTAAATGAATTTGAACACTGCCAGTAGATTATGTATCCAATGCAAAAGCATGGATGACAGGCGCCATCTTCATTAACAGTTTAAAAAGAATATATAAGCAATTTTCGAGGGAAAGTGTATAATTCTTTTATTTGTGGATAATGCTACTTGCCACAGTAACCTCATGGAACTGAGTTTCATATAGGTTGAATATTTGCGGCCAATCACAACTATGAACCTACAACCAGTAGATCAAGAAATCATCCAGAATCTTAAAACAAATTAGAGACTCTTACAAAAAATAATTTTGTCTTTAGACTGTGGTGAAAACTATGAGATTACTCTGCTGGCAGCTATAAACGATTTATATGCCACATCGGAGGCTGTTAAAGAAAGCACAATTAGTAATTGTTTTTGTCATGCTAAATTCATGCATGTGAAAGAGAACAGTTATATTTAATAATGTGACGATATTGATAGAGCTTTTCCTGAATTCAAAAACTTTAAATGTTATGAAGTTACATTTTCTGATTATGTAAGGAATGAAGACTTGGAACTCTATGGAAAACTGGGCGACGATGGCATAATAAAAGCTATCTGAGAAGATGAAAAAAAAGACCTTATTGGATCCAGAAGAGAATCCATAGACTGTGTCCTAATAATCAAGCCATAATGGACTCAATAAAATTTCTGAAAGTGAGATGAAGTGTTTACTTCAAATCGAGAAGCTGGCTCAAAAATGTAGGCATAATAAACAAAACCAAACATCCATTTTACGGTTTTCCCAAAAGTGTAATTCGTATTTTTAATTAAAGTTTTCTTTCTACTGCATATCTCCTGCTTCATCTTATGATAAAGGCAAGTTTTTATTGCATTTTAATATGTTTAGCATAGTGTAATATATTTTCTGGGATTATAAATAGTAGGAGATTTTCTTCTTCAGTGATACACTTTTAAAGTTGTATTTTCTTTTAACATCGGATATAATTCTTTTTTCTTTGAACCTTTCGCTTCGAATTAACGAGTATCCACTATGTATGTAACTCCATCCACATTCTATACAGGGTGATTCGCTACCAGTGCAACAAACTTGCAGGAGGTGTACAGTGCATAAAGACGAATCGGAATCACATAACATTCCTTGCAGAGTCTGAAAACCTTCTACCCAAGCTACATTTAAAAGAAGCAAAGAAAGGAACAGAAACGCCACATTAGTGTAATAGAATTTATTTTATTACAAGTTTTTAATTGGCAAAACACTAAATGCTAGAGAAGATATTCGAAATGGCATCCAGAAGCAGTCACGGCGGCGCCGTATGGAATTCTTAATGTTCTGGAAAAGTCTTAATGCATCTTCTTATCTCCCTGGGCAGCTATAGAAATGCAAGTGACGAGGTCTTCAACTGAATCTACAGCGGTCTCCTACACCAATGCCTTCATTTGACTTCACAGGTCTAGATATGATAGGTGTGACAATCTAGCCATGGAGGTAAGAAAGGAAGAAGGGGCCAGCTCGGGATTACAAGTGAAGACTGCTCCGAAGCTTCGGTCTGCAGATGGGGTGTTTTTTATTTACATTCAGAAGCTCCCTTGAAAGCACTTAGATGGTATTTCAACTCACGACAGTTCCATACAAATTTAAAAAATTTAAAAAAATTTCCACGTAAAAGAGACATTCATTGTATGATGGATAATAGCAATTTGTATAATTTAGTGACATTTACCCAAAAATCACATCTTGGTTATTTTTCAATAACTAACAACAGCGATTTTGATTATGAATTTGTATTATAAAATTCTAAGCTGTTTAACTACAAAAATATAGATTTTAGCAAAAATATTATGCTTAAAGAATGAAAAATACCTTACGGTACCTTTAAAATCATATGCGTCTTTCGATACCTTTGATAGAGTATTCGCTACTTTTATTTTATGTTCCAGACGCCAAAATGTTTTTAATTAATTAATTTTTTGTCATCCACATGTTATTGTAACAAGTACTTTTTTAAAAATTTTAGAGGAGAGGCTTTATGGTTGCTCATTTTAAAGTCGTTATTTTATTTTTATATAACTGAAAAATAATCACTTTGGGTTTAGACTTTTTACTTATTTGGGTAAATTAAAAAATAAAATTACCACCAAATGCTGCAATCCTCGTCAAAATTAATAAATAGACACATAGATATGCCAATAAGTTAACATTTCCTTGATTTGTAACTGCACATTTGTGTAAAATTATGTACAGTTTTACACAAATGTGTGGAACAGAAGATGGATATATTTGCGAATTCGGTGGGAGTACCATGTGCAGCTAAGATGATCTGACTATGTGAACATGCCACATCATCAAGACAGCTTAGTAAGAATTTGAAAATAGGGTAATCGATGGAGGTGAAAACATTTGTGTATTCTGCCAAAGGAGGTCTGATCATGAATGGTCCTCTTATTGGTTCCAGATTTTTAAATGTTTCCCCACTTAAGTCTTTTTTTTCTAGGAAATTCGAGGTTCATGCTCGCTTCTTAATGTACCCAAATCTCATTCATAGACAAAGAATAGCTAACTGGAGCATATTACAATATTTGCTCTCAGTATCATAATTTAAAAAGTGGCAAAATTTGATTATCTCGTGGAGGAGGCTTCCCTGAAATGTTATGTAGATAATAGTTACTCTTGGTTAAAAAGTTTTCCATTAAGGCATCCCTTCCGAGGCTGATAATCTTTTCTCCTTTGCAATAATCAATAAAGTAAGCAATCAGTCAGACTTCATGTATAATTTTTTATGTGAAACTGGTCACATCTGCATTATACACAAGAAAAACACTACAAAAATCTCTTGCATTAAAACATGCATCAATTTCTTCTTACAATGTCTTATCATTTCTTAATTGCGTTTTTATTTATTATGAACGTTTTTTCAGTTTTAAAGAAACTAGTATATGTTCCACGAAGTTAAATGATTTAATCTTTCCGATGGGAATAATTAATTATATGTACAATATCGAAATAGATTTTCATGTACCTATTGTAATAAACCCCTAGTTTTCTGTGTCCTTCCAAGCATCTTATCTGAATTTAATTTAAAATGAAACAAAAATTATATAATCGATTCTGCCACTGATTGGTCTATGTGCATACACATGTATATGTGCGAATGTAAATAATATTTCATTCCACTCAGTTATCCTATCTTTCTGTCAGGCTGCATGGGCCTTTAAAAAGTCCTCTACGAAGGTTTTCTTCTCTTGACAAAAAGCTCTCGCTCTCTTTGATTAACTAGTTATGCATTACAGCTGATGCAGATTTCATTAAAATGATTATGTAGATATACATCAGAGGGGAAATATATAACCTAGGCCGAATTTACTAAGTTCTAAAGTAAATATGCATAAAATTAAAGGATAAACTACTGTCCTGCATTATTTTCTATTAAGACTATTTGTATTGATTAGTTTGCAGCTTTCATTGGAACTATTGCTCTTTTTTAGGATCCAAAGATAAGGAAGTAGCAGAGGATAAGAAGGGCAGCCACTGTGGAATCTCCAAGAGTAAATAAGGGACCACTGGAAGATGCAGGTGAAAAAGAGAGACGCTACCTGAAGAACATAAAGATTCTGAATCAGAAGGTATAAAAAAATCGCAGATTTTAACTGCATTATTGTGGAGTTAAAGCTAAAGAAGTTCATGAGTGAAGATGTCCTTCATGTACTGCAAATGACAACTGGTCCCTCTGCAAAACTTTTTAATCGACAATTATAAAAATTAAAACATGAAGTCCAGCCAAATAAATATTCAGCTGACCTGAGGAAATTCACTCTTACTCTGCATTTTTATTCCGCATGAGCTTACAGATATATTAGAAAATGTTTCAGTTGCAATCTTCCACATCCCGGAACTATTTCAAAATGGTATAAACACATTGATGGGTCACCTGGTTTCACAACTGAAGCTGTCATTGTGCTGGCTGCTAAAGCAAAACAATGTAGACACCCATTAATATGCTCCCTTATTGTTGATGAAATGTGCATACGTCAACATGTTGAATATAACAATGGGAAAATGTATGAGTATGTGGATATGGATTGCGATATTAAGGATGATTTGCTGCTACTGGCAAAAGAATCTCTAGTTGTTATGGTTGTAGAAATCAATCAAAGTTGGAAATTGTCTGTTGGGTATTTTTTGATGTTCTGGATTCTAACCAGAAGGCTGTTCTTGTGAAGCACTGTTTATCATTAATACATTCTTCAAACGTGTATATTGCAGCAATGACTTTTGATGGTTTAAGTATGGCACAAAATTTAGGCTGTGATTTGAAACAGCTAAAAACATCATTTAAGCACCCTACTGCTGAATATGAAATACATGTATTTCTAGATCCCTGTCACACGTTAAAGCTTGTACGAAACACATTAGAAGATAAGAAACAAACTAAGACCCTCGCACATAAGTTTCTTAAAAAAGAAAATGAAAGTGAGCTTGGCAGCCCAAATTCTAAGTAGGTCTGTGGCTGATGCAATTCAATTCTGTGAAAACGAATTAAAAATGGAAGACTTTAAAGGATCTGAAGATACAGTTGTGTTCATTAGGATTATTAATGATCTTTTTGATATTCTGAATTCAAGGTGTATTCGCCAAACTGGTGCAAAGAAAGCATTATGTTTGGAAAACTGGGAAACTACATTGAAGGCCTCATTCAATTGAAACAGCGATGATCGCTCAAACAGCAATCGTATCAAGCATTAGCGATCGCTTTTGAAAACAAGTGATTTTTTGTATTCATTTGAAACACTTCCCTACCAGTCGAACTCGTAGGGGTTGCCAGAGGTTACTTGATGCATGATGCTGTTTGTCACGTGGTCGGAAGTTGCGTTGGTTTAGAAATAACCAATAAAAGAGCTACTAGATGTGCAGGTTGACTCCTCATAACAGTTCTTTAGGGTTGCAGCTCAGGTTTGGTGTGCCCTCTTTGGCTTTTCAGCGCTATTGTTTCAAATTTTTATCCATGAAAATTCTTCAGAGGTATCATTTTATTTTAATTCCTTTATGAAAACAGCTAAGAGACACATTCCATTTACATAAATCATATACATGTGAAAAATATAGGTCAAGTAAGTTTTAAGTGCATACTGAAAAAAAGTGATTCAAAAAACCTTTTAAAGCAAAAAAGAAAAATGTACCTAGTTCTATTAATAACTCAAAAAATACAATGTAATATATTCTAAAAGGAAAATTATATAATACATAATGATGTAAATTACATATATTTAATAAATACATAAAACTCTATAATGAATAATGTTCATAACTATATAATAAACACCAACACATATCACATCATGGTACATAACACTGCTATGAAAGGAAGAATTTTTAATTAGAAACATACCTTTTACATTTATTCGATAACATAGACGAATAAAGCATAAAGATGACAAGAAGTTATGAAAACACATTATGCAACTTAAGAAACAGTAAGAAGCCTTTTAAGTTATTGTAATATCATAAGGCACCTGATTAGGAAGTAAATATCATTTTTTCATTCTTTTACATCAGTAATAAGTTTTTCATTAAAAACTTTAGCAGTGAAAGCCAAATCAAATTTATTATTAGCGTTTCTGATACAAGGTCACACAAAAATAAACTTGATTTAGCAAATTTCTAAAACATTAAAATCAAAAGTAGTAAATTACAGTAACATATATTATTAAATTATTTTAATTACACATAAAAATTGTCTGAATTAAATAAAGAATAAGTGACTAAGCTTGTACAGCATTTTCAAACATATTTTATGTTGATACATTGGAAATAAATTGTCAGCAATCGCAGTTAAATGAAAGCGCTGA